GACTCCACACTCAGGTCTCCTTGTTGTTGCAAGCAGGACTAAGACTCCAATCACCCACAATGCTTTTTGTCCATGTCTGTATTGCCTATGAAATGTTAAAGAAAACTGAAAATCATTCCCCAATAAAATAGGAGTGCTTATCTTTGAATGTGTTTATCTAGATAAGAGCAGGACAGAAAATGCTTGCAATTTTCGACAACATATTTTAATTTTCAAGTGGAATTTAATTTATTTAACCACAATCTTCACATATGGGGTTTCTTCAGATAAATTTTTTTTGATGATGGCCTGTTTTGACTTTGTCTTATTTTATCTCAGATGGCATTTACTATCCCAAACATAGTGATTTCAAACTTCATCCAAGCCACTCAGAGTTAATAGACATAAGAATTACATAATGATTATCTGAACGTTCATAATTTTGTCATTACATGAAGAATGACAAAAGAATATAACTGTTTTTGCTCCACAGAAAAGTAAGCAGTTATTAAAGGCAGTTTTTCTTTTACTTATTTTATATAATTGTGAAAGAACTGACTTGAAACCTTCCAGAAAGATTTCTATCCCTTTGCAATTGTAGAGCACTACATTGTAGAAGATACTGTGAATCTGTGCAGGCAGATGTGAAACCATCACTCTTCAACTTTATATATATGAAAATTTAATAGAAAACTCAATATGATGTAAGTAGATAATAATAGCTTGTTTTTTAGTAGTGCTTTAAACACAAAAAATACTCATAGCTAACCTGAGCCTTTATTTTCTGTATTCAATAAATACTTGTTTATATATAAGTCAATGAATAAGAAATGTTTTTCTAAGTTAGGAAAACAAGAATTAGATTTAGAAACATATATAGCCCTAAGTATTTAAAACACATCTACTGTTTTAATCTTAAATAGCTCAACTCTGTTCTCTTCTAAGGTATCTTAAGTCTATCACCCATATTCCTGAAATGAAATTGAGGGCATAATATGGTAATAATACCCTATATATGGTTATTTAAAAGAGTGACTTCTCTACACATATATAAGTAAAACACAGCATTTAAAGAAAAACATAACTCATCCATGGTGGTGTTTATTTCAAAATAAGTTTACTTATCTTATTTCATCTGTGTGTATGTGTGGTGATTCCCCTGCAGTCCCTACAATAGGCAGGGAAAAATGATCAGGGTGAGGTAAGACTGAATCTCTGCTGAGCCTAATTCACCTGCCCTGGACTAGGAATTCTAGAGTCTGGACCATATCATTAGTCAAGTATCTTTACCCATAAAGTAATCTTGCCAGCATTGTTTTAATTTTATGCCTAAGGAAAATGAGTCCTAAGATACATATCCAAGCTATATTTAAGCACAGTAAAGTTTTGGAAAAATAAACTCAGGTAACAATGAACTCAGTACTAAATGTACAACAATTTTCCCTCAATATATGTTTTTATTTAAATTAGAAACATGAATGCTTTACATGTCAATCCAAGCTCCTCTCCCACCCGCCCTCCCTTGTCCCTCCACCAGCCCCCAGTCCCACACCCCATCCCCACATCATTCTCCAGGGGAGGCAGAGGCCCTCCTTGGGGGGATCTCTAAAGTCTGTCATTTCATCCAGGGCAGGACCTAGGCCCTTCCCCATGTGTCCAGGCTGAGAGAGCATCCCTCTATTTGGAATGGGTTCCCAAAGATCATTCATACACCATGGTAAGCACCGATCTACTACCCAAGGCCCTAGTGATTTCTGTGGTTTATCGTTTTGTGTCTGGGTTACCTCACTCAGGATGGTTTCCTCTAGTGCCTTCCATTTGCCTGCAAATTTCAAGATTCCATTGGTTTTTTTTTTTTTTTTTTTTTTTTGGTTTTTACGAGACAGGGTTTCTCTGTATTGTTTTGGAGGTTGTCGGTCCAGCCTGGCCTCGAACTCACAGATATCCACCTGCCTCTGCCTCCCGAGTGCTGGGATTAAAGGCGTGCGCCACCACCGCCCGGCGAGATTCCATTGTTTTTTTTTTCTGTTGATTAGTACTACATTGTGTAAATTTACCACATTTTCTCTATCAACTCTTCAGTTGTGGGGCATCTAGGTTGTTTCCAGGATTTAGCTATTGCATATAATGCTGCTATGAACATAGTGGAACAGATATCCTTGTTGTGTGAATGGGCATCTTTTGGGTATATGCCTGAGAATGGAATTGCTTGGTCTTGTGGTAGACTGAGTCCCATTTTCCTGCGGAATCTCCATACTGATTTCCAAAGTGGTTGTATGAGTTGGCACTCCCACCAGCAATGGAGGAATGTTCCCTTTTCTCCACATCCTCTCCAGCACAAACTGTCATTGGTGTTTTTGATTTTAGCCATTCTGACAGGAGTAAGATGATATTTCAGAGTTGCTTTGATTAATGCACAACAATTTAATATATGTTTATATTGAACCTCCTTGCAAATTACATATATCTTCATCCATAAGATAGTGTCTCATTGAGTTAGAAGTCATGCTCAATAGTGTCCGGGGGAATGACTGAGGTAAACCCAATGTCTGTGAGAATAAGGATTCATTTGGCTCTAATAACATGGAAGTCAATTAGGCTGTTGTAGAGGACAAGTGATATTATTCCCAAGAATGAGTCTTGTGGCCTAGAAGTAATACTCAAAGCTTTAAAGAAAAGATGTTTATTATAAGTGAAACATAATTGCCAGTAGACACAGGCTGAGCCTGTCTCATCAGATAGCAAAGGAATACTAAGTTGTAAAATTGGACCACACCAGGCTTAGCAGGAAGAGTAGCCATGAACCTCATTATATTGGAGAGACAAGATGAGTGTTTAACTTTCCTGTCTTCTCTATTACTTATCTGTGTACACAAGGTCTTTTTGACCTTTACATATATGTAAAATTCCTCCACAAATACAAACAGTTCCAGTATAATTGGAATGTGGTCATTTAGACAGCCTCCTACTGTGGCACTAAAAAGAGTGTTACTTAGTATATTTCTTGATTTTCATAATCTTTAAAAATATTTATCCCTCTCTGTGGGTAAGTATATGTTTATATCATGTGTGTGGAGGGTACAAAACAGCTTTTAGGAGTTGGTTCTCTCTGTCTAACATGTATAACATGTGGATCTTAAAACTCAAATCATTAGACTTGGGTCAAGTATCTGTAACCATAGAGTAATCTTGTCAGCATTGTTTTTATTTTTATACCTGAGGCAAATGAGTCCTAAGATATGTACCCAAGTTGACCTAGAGATCCCTGGCAAACTTACCAGTTCAATATATTGATTTTTATGTCAAAACCAACCACAAGAGAAATTCTAGGGAATTAATTTGGAAAAACAGGCAAACCCACAGAAATATATATATATATATATATATATATATATATATAAATTGTCCTTGAATTTGATATTTCTAGCTTTTGTAAAAATCAAAAGCAGTAGAATTTGTATTCAGTCAAATTTGAAAAAGATTAACCACAGCAAGTGAGAAAAAGCATTTTAACCCATCCTGGAAAGTAAAACAACATACCAGCTCTGAGATCCCCTGATTGTGAGAGTCAGTGAGGAGGCCTGGGCAACCTATGGGGCCCTGGGCAGTGGATCAGTGTTTATCCCTGGCATACAAACAGACATCGTGTGTCCATAACACAAAAAGGGCTCTTAGGGGAGTGCCTGGACCCTGCCCTGAGTGAAATGACAGACTCTAGATATCCCCTATGTGGAAGGAAATGGCAATAGGGTGGGAGGCTGGGGGGGATGGTGGGGGAGTGCTGGAGGAGGGGAGAGGGAAGTGGGATTGACATGTAAAACAAGCTATTTAAAATTAAAATAATAAAAAAAGAGGAAAGAAAAAAAAGAAAGTATACTTAAAATTAGAAAATCCTTTATGAACTAAATACTAAAAAAGATTTTAGTGTTGTTATTCTTGATTTTTATGTAATTTTTTTCTTTGAGGATTTTGTTCAATCAGTTTTAATAACATTCAACCCCTCTTTCATCAACTTATAGATCCAGCCCCTTTCCCTAGTGACTTACTCTTTTGTCCTTATTTTTTCTCTTCTACCTATCAAGTTTACTTTGAGCTGCCCATATAGTCATGGTTGTGTGGTCTTGCAATCAAGTGTCATTTATCTACCAGATGAAACAGTCTTGAAGACTGGCTCTTTTTTGGAAGCAGCTATCAGTTGCCAAGAGTCCCCTGGATAAGGGTGGGAGTTTGTGTCCACAGCCTTTGTTCATGATGGGATTTGGTTTGGCTCGAGGTTGCTCAGGGCTTTTCCATACAGTCAAAACTGCTTTTAGTTTTTAAGTGCAGCTGCTCTGCTATGTCCAAAAGACAATGTTTGCTTGTAGTCTTTCTCTGACTCTGGCTCTTGTATTCATTCTGCCCCTCTGCTTCAATGATCCCTGAACTTGGTAGGAAGAGGTGCAGTACAGATGTACTTTTAGGACTAAACGTTATACAATCTTTATTCTCTACACCTTGTCACTGTGTTAATCATCATCTATTGAAAATAGAAGGTTCATTACAGAGATCTCAGATATATGTTAATCTACGTGCACAATTTGTTGGGATTCAGTTTAATACTATGCCCATTTAGTCAAGAAATAGTCATGGGTTGTTTATAGGTCCTAGAACTGTCTACCTAAGAATTTCTGGCCTAACAATAATACCTAATATTAGTTTTTAACTTGTTGAACAGTTATAAATTTGATCAGAAAAAGCTTGGTTATTTCCAGTTGTGTGAGCCACCAGGGGAGATATGTTGTCAGTCCATTATTGCAGCATTCACTGATAGGTAAGAGGGAATATCAGTTTTCTCCTCCAGTAGGTTTATAGTACATTGTGGCACTATAAAAGTTAACAAATATGAATAAGGTTTCCTGGTCAGGACAAGCTTAATATCTCAATACTCAAATATAATATATTCAGTAGTATGGTCTTACTATCAAATTCTGAAGGGAAACCAATAAGATTGGTAATAGCCAGTAAACTTTGTTTCCTGACAGGTGTGGAATCTTACTGGCCAATGACTCCAAAAGGAAAAACAAATCTGCACTCAACCTTTCATTTTACAGCTCTCTGTGACAGGTAGGGGTATACTGTTCAATTAAAGAGTAAGTCAACTCAGGAAACTTCTACAGTGGTTGGTGGATTTCCATATGACTTTTTTCTCAATATATTTTTTAACTAGAAAAATGAATGTTTCACATGTCAATCCCAGCTCCCTCTCCCACCCCTCCTCCTTTGTCCCTTCACCAGCCCCCGGCCCCCCACCCAATCCCCACATCATTCCCCAGGGAGGGTGAGGCCCTCCTTGGGGGCATCTCCAAAGTCTGTCATTTCATCCAGGGCCAGACCTAGGCCCTTCCCCATGTGTCCAGGCTGAGAGAACATCCCTCTATTTGGAATGGGCTCCCAAAGATCATTCATATACCATGGTAAACACTGATCTACTACCCAAGGCCCTAGTGATTTCTGTGGCTTCCTCACTGAGACTGCATGCATGGAGTTGGCCTCTCAGCCATTAGTCTGGGATTCAGAGCTCCCCCTTATCCAGTCAGCTGTGTTTGTGGGTTTCACCATCATGGTCTTGACCCCTTTTCTCATCACTCCTTCATCTCTGTCACTGGGTTCCAGGAATTCAGTTCCGTGTTTAGCTGTGGGTATCTGTCTGTGCTTCCATCATCACTGGATGAAGGTTTTAAAGAGAGGTTATTAATGTAGTCTCTCCACTATTGCTTAGTTTGCCAGTTGGTGTTATTCTTGTAGATCTCTAGAGATCTCACTAGTGTCAGCTCTCTCCTCAAGCCTATAATGACTCCATCTATTATGGTATCTCTCATCCTGCTCTCCTCTATTCTTACCTCAACTCAACCTTCCTGCTCCTCCATGCCTTCTTCTCCCCTCCTCTTATCCCCCTCCCTTTTTCCTGGTTCCCTCTCCCCTCCCCTGATGTTCCCATTCTGCTCAGGAGATTTTGCCTCATTCCACTTCTCTGGGGTACCATGCATCTCTCTTGGGAACCTCCCTGTTTCCCAGACTCACTGGCACTGGGATTGTAGGCTGGCACTCCCCCTGATCCATATCTAAAATCCATGTATGAGTGAGTACATACCATGTTTGTCTTTTTGTGTCTGGGTTACCTCACTCAGGATGGTTTCCTCTAGTGCCTTCCATTTGCCTGCAGATTTTAAGATTCCATAGACATTAGACATAGAGCAAAGGAATATCAACCTACAATCCACACCACCAGAGAAGCTAGTAAACAAGGAGGACCCTAAGAGAAACATACATGTTCCCCCAGAGAAGAGGAAAGGGATAAGATCTCCTGAGCTAATTGGGAACATGAGGGGAGGGGAGAAGGGGTTAGGAGAAAAAGAATGGGAGAAGAGGAGGGAGAGGAGGACATGAGGGAGCAGGAAGATTGAGTCAGGGGAAGAATAGAGGAGAGCAAGAAAAGAGATACCATAATAGAGGGAGCCATATAGTTTTAAAGAGAAATCTGGCACTAGGGAAAAGTCCAGAGATCTACAAGGATGACCCCAACTAACAATCATAGCATTTGTGGAGAGGCTACCTTAAATACCCTCCCCTGATAATGAGATTGATGACCACCTTATATGCTTCCTTAGAGCCTTCATCCATTAGCTAATGGAAGCAGGACACCCACAGCTAAACAGTGAGCCAAACTCCTGGAATCCAGTTGCCCAGAGGGAGGAGTGATGAGCAAAGGCATCAAGACCAGGCTGGAGAAACCCACAGAAACAGCTGACCTGATCAAGTGGGAGCTCATGGATTCCAGACTGATAGCTGAGAAACCAGCATAGGACTGTTCCAGACCCCCTGAACATGAATGTCAGTTTGGAGGTCTGGTTAATTTATGGGGCCTCTGGTAGTAGATCAGTATTTATCCCTAATATATGAATGGGGTTTGGGATCTCATTCCACATAGAGGGATAGTCTCTCAGTCTAGACACAGTGGGGACGTCCTGCTTCAAGTGATATGACAGACTTTGAAGATTCCCCATGGAAGGCCTCATCCTCCCTGTGGATCAGAAAGGGAATGGGGTGGGGAGCAGGGGAGGAAGGGAGGGAGGGGGAACTGGGATTGGCATGTAAAACAAGCTTGTTTCTAATTTAAATAAAAATTTCAACTCCAGAAAAAAAGACATTTCTATTTTAATTATTAGTTAATGAACATCATTTAGGCTGGCTTCATTCCCTGGTAGTTGTGAATAAAGCAACAATGAACAAAAATGAGGAAGTATTTATGTTATAGGACGTAGTCATTGTTTTATATATACTCAAGATTTCTGTAGGCTGTTAATATTGTGTATGTGTCATTAGGTTAATAACAAACCTTTGTAGTGATTTTCATAGTGATTTCACCAGTTTTTCCTTTCACCAGCAGTCATAGGCCTTCCCCTTTCCAACATTCACCTCAGTTTTCTGTGATTCTTTATTGCTGTTTGTTTTCTTTTAAATTTTAGCTATTCTGATTAGGGTAATATGAAAACTCAAGGGAATTTAATTTGTCCTTTTCTTTTTTTTCTTTAATTTAAATTAGAAACAAGCTTGCTTCACATGTAAATCCCAGCTCCCTCTCCCTCCCCTCCTCCCCACCCCCCATCGACCCTCACAACCCCCACTCTGTTGCCCAGGGAGGGTGATGCCCCTCCATGGGGGGTCTCCAGAGTCTGTCATATCTTCCAGGGCAGGGCCTAGGTCTTCTCCCATGTGTTCAGTCTGAGATAGCATACCTCCATGTGGAATGGGCTCCCAACGTTCATTCACATGCCAGTGATAAATACTGATCTAGTACCTAAGGCCCCAAAGATTGCTGAGGCCTCCTCACTGACACTACATTCAGGGGGTCTGGATCAGTCCCATGCTGGCCACTCAGTCATCATCAGTCTGGAGCCCATGAGCTCCCCCCTTGTTCAGGTCAGCTGTTTCTGTGGGTTTCACCCACCAAGTTATGACCCATTGCTCTCTGAATATGAAAGCCAGTTATAAACCTGCAAATGTCTGTGTGGAAAATAATATCAAAAACACTCCAGAGTATTTCTGAAAGAAACTAAATTTTGAGGCTCTGGGGCAATATTTTCATCAATACTGTCTTCTTCAAATTCTCATGTTATTTCTGCATCAAACAAATACAAAGTGGCTAAATGTCTCTGAGTCCATGGCTTTGGTTAAAACCACCCAAAACTACTGGTTTCAACAGATTTTCTAATGTGAGGTCCTTAACTTGAATGTGATATTAGAGTTACACATCAAATCAAATAAACAAGTAATAAATAAATGACTTCTGAAAACTTTGTAACCAAATATATGTTCTAAGTACATTATGCAGTGAATCAGAATTCATGCTAGTGTTCACCTGTTACATTGGACAAACTCACAGCAGACTTGGTTACCAGAAGACATACATCTGTTGTTCTGTAAAGGTCACCAAGGAAGGCAATGTCAACAACAACTACCTGAAACTCCTCATAGATTTAAGATTATTGTATGCTATTAATGTGCGGGTTTTATGTGCATACAAAGATCTTTGGCCCTATAGAAACATAATTTCATTATGTAAGAGAAAGACACAATATTCCTTGTTGTCATTTTCAGTGTACCAAATAAGTGTATCTTTAAACTATATTGTATTAAAATGCTTGATTTCAGAAATTTTCATTTTTTCTGTTTGAATTTCATAAAGTATTGTTTAGTAAATGCATTGGGAATGGAAGAGAATTTCTGACAATTTCAAAAATGGCCTTTAATATACCTATGCCCAACATTTTAGACTATATATTTATTTGAAGTGGCATTTTTTGATAATTGGAGTTATCAAAATTGGATAATTGATAGTTGGAGATGTCTCACAATATCAAATATTAAAGCAATATTATATTATTTCTAGAAAAATAAGGAACTACAGTCATCCCATTAAATGTATTTGATTTCATGATTAATAAGTAGCAAATCATATGAAAATCAAAAACTTGTTTTGAACTAGATCTTTTCATTATTCATTACAATTAAATGTTTAATTTGCATATTTACTTATTATTCCCACATATTTGGATTACATTAAGAGTTCTGAAGGCAAAAGGGATTGTGAGTGGAAAAATGTGTAAGAAGCCTTGGCTTTCAACAATTACAGGAGAGTTTGTTTTTCTCAGAAATCTCCATTTTAGCCAGTCAATATTTAATTGAGTCAACTCTTTTTCAGTCCTTGTGAGTAAGTTGAAGCATGATGTATGCAAGTGTGACAATCATTTCACTTGTGAGTCTTCCTAGGGACTTACCTTGAGTATAATTGGAATGACAGTGTGTGGCTTTTCTATGTGGAATTACATGCTCACAGCATGATGACTGGCTTTGTGTGGCAAGTATGAGCTGAGAGCAGAGAGAGAGAGAGAGAGAGAGAGACAGACAGACAGACAGACAGACAGACAGACAGACAGACAGAGATAGAGTCAGAGAGACACAGAGAACTACCAAATCATGAGGTATCCTAGGATGGCATACAGCATCCTATTTGCCTTATTGTTTCATTCATTCGCTCTTTCCTCCTTCCTTCCTTTATTTCTTCTTTCCTTCTTTTTTCTTTCTTTTTTTGCTTCCTTTTTGTCTTCAATACAGGATCTCACTCTAAGAGCTCTGACTGGCCTCTTGGTCTGCAGAAATAAAATGTTGCACTATAAAATTCTAAATTAAGTGATTGCTAGGTTAAAGAGAACTCTCATAAGTAATTAAAGCTGTAGCTTTCAAAATAGAGGGACAGTGGATTAATAATGTTTATCATGGAGAAATCCCACTTGAAATTGATGCTGAAATGTGGCATATTGAGTGCCTTCAAGGTAAAAGTTCCATGGTCCTAGGAAAGATAGGAAAGAACACAGCTAGTCATGGAGGGGGAATACATGGTAATGTCTGTGTGGAAATCAGAGGACACCACAAACATCTAAGAACAAAATAAGATGTCATATATTACGATATATATATTATGATGGCCTTCAGAATAATTTTGTCACCAGCACTTCTTTTTCTGTTAACCCAAGAGTGCAACTTAGCCAAGAGTTACACCAAGA